TCTGGCTGCATGGGGGCCAAGTTTCCCATGGGGTTGACATGGCTAGGGACTGAAAGCATTTTGTGTGTTTGGATTTTCTGTCAAAGATGCAAAGCTTCTCTGGGATATTTCTCTATCAGAAAACATTCTCCTCCAGGTCTAGGGGGCTTGGTGTGACCCTCTGTTAGACTATGACTTCCTTGAAGGCTGGGATCTCAAAGCATAAAACAGGACCTGACTCAGAGAATTTAGGGGGCAGGAAATGAATCTATGACTTTTATTTTATTTGTGTATTGCTAGAACAATAACATCAATAATCATAATAAATGTAAATGCTAACACTTACTGGATAATTAACTTGAAACTATATTATGTGGATTACTTCATGCAATTCTTACAGCAACCCTTGAGGAAAATATTTATTAACCCCATTTTGCAGAGGAGGAAACTGTCTTGGAGAGAGTAACTTGCACAGAGTAACACAGCCAGTAAGTGACAACATTGGGGATTGGAACACTGGCAGGCTCATTAGCCCATTTATTAGGGAGGTCATAAACTCAAAGGATTTCATAGGAAGTCACTTGTCCTTAGTGAGCCGCAGTTTTCCCTATTTGTCCAAAGAAAGGATTACTTCTCCATGCCGCTCCAGATTGGAAATAGTCTATGTATGATTCTGTGATTCCTATACATGGAAGAGGGAGGGATTAGGCTTGTTCTCAGTGCGCAGCAAGTCCTAGATTTGGCCTTAATCTGAGGAAGAGTCTCTGTAGTCTCAGGATGGCTTAAAATGAAAAATGCCCCTTGGGAGGTGGTGGGCTCCCCAATATTGGCCCTAGGAGGGCTAGCACAGGTTTGAAATGACATAGAGGGGAGGGGTCTTGGACCAGTGACTATGTGAGCCCCCTACAGAGCTGATGGGATGGACCATCAGGAGGGGTGAAGTCACTGAGAAGAGGGGCAAGAGAGGCATGAGAGGAACCAGAACTCACATTTACTGAATGCCTTATGTATCAGACCTGTGCTTGACGTTTAACATACCCTGCTAATTCTCAGGAAAACATTGAAAGATTTATAGTGGAGGAAACTCAGATTCAGAGAAGTGACTTGTTCAAGGTCATACAGGATGAAATGCTGGGACAAGTTACCCAGGTGAGTCTCACCAGGGTCATTTTCCCTGAATCCCTTAAGATCAACCCGTTCCTACCTAGTACCCTTAGGGCAGCACCACGTGGCAAATTTCAGAATACTTTTGCCACATGACGTCAGAGACCGCACCAGTCAATCCAGCAGCTCCCAACCTTCCCTCCCCTGACCTGATGGGGTGGGGAGGCCGACCCAGGCTACCTGTCCCCTCCAGAGCAGGCCGCACCTGCAGCCCCCACCCCTTCCCGGTTGAGACACTCTCATTTCTTTGCCGGGTCCTCCCCGCGCCCCGCTGATTGGCAGTTGCCTGCACCAATTGGAGGGCCTCCCGGTTCGGGGGCGGGGCCTCACGTTAGAGTTGCCCTGTCAGTGCAGGTGGAGGCCCCCGGCGGGGCAAAGTGGCAGGAACCTCTTAAAGGGCGAGAGCAGCGCAGCGCTAGAACGCGGCCCGGCCCGGCCTAGCCAGGTCCCCGCCCTGTCCAGCCCAGGTGAGCCTGGACCGCCCGGGGGTCGACCGCCTAGGGGTCGACCGCCTAGGGGGTGACCCCCGGTTCCCGGGAGGGACGGGGGGGAGGGACAGAAGAAGCCACTCCTAAGCGCCGGGACTGTCCGGGAGAGGGGAGACCAAGGTCTAAGGGTCCCGGATTCCAAAGTCCGAACTTGGGGTTCAGAGGGGCCTGGGTGTCTGGAAGTTTAGGGTGCGGGGAGCAGCACAGGCTTCAGGAGAGGGGGCCCGGGAGCTCGGGTCAGAGCTAGACACGTCCGAATCCTGGCTGTCTGGGACAGGGGTCCTGGGTTCGGTCCCTGTGGGCGAGTCTCTGCAAAGACGCGCAGCCCAAGGCTGCCCCCCCCAACCCCGCCCTGCCCAGCCCCGCATGCTCCTGCCGGGGCCGCCGCAGCGCGGGCTGGAGCGGGCGGGCGGCGCGCAGCGGGAGGGGGCACCCAGGCCCGGAGCCCCGCGCCCCGCTCTGGTCCTTACATAACTGACTTTGAGTTTCCGGACCCAGGGACCCACGAGCTGGGTCGCTGGCTCTGCCCGCCAGGGTGGCCCTCCGGTGGCCGCCCCAGCCCCACACACTCCCTGCCAGGTTTGGTCTAGGGGACTTCCCTCTGTTTCTGGTCTCCTGGGTCTGTGTCCGGGTCGGGTTCCTGCTCGCTCTCATCCCTGGGTTCTCTCTATCTCTTATCTCCGTGTAGCCCCGTCTTTCCCTGTCTCTATCCTCTCTGTCTTTCCCCAATAGTTGTCTCACCCTTACCTACACGTTA